CGAACGCGGCCCGAACCTTGCAGATTCGGGCGCTTACCTCATCCGTCACACTAGATTGGGAGCCAACAAAATTCTCAAGATACGTAAAACGCTCTAAACTTCCAGTACCTCTCCCTGGATTGTAAGTGGTCTGTTCAGTGGCTGGACGTCCACGAGTGTGACCTTACACTTTGTAGGTGCAAAGTGCGTACCAAAGGACAGGATGAATTTGGTCAGTTCATTCTTGCGCCTTCTCCTTCCCCTAGAACGTGAGAACGATGTCGTCTGCGTACTCCAGATTGGCAAGGTATTCGTCACAGGCTATTTGAACGCCAGGGTTTTGGAGACCCTCCAGCGTTCGTCTCATTAGTTCATCGATCACAAAGTTAAAAAGGAATGGAGAGAGTGAGCCTTCCTGACGGACACCGCTTTGTGTACGGAAACTTTTGGAGAGTTCTCCGTACACTCTCACACGTCCGGAAGTCTGACGATACAAAGAACGTATTATGTTTACAAACTTCCGGGGCATTCCTTGGTGAGCAAGCGTCTCAAGAAGAACAGACCGATCAACAGAGTCGAATGCGCCTCGGAAATTCGGGTATACTAGAATCGTGGATCGCTTATACATATGGCGTTGTTCTGGAACCTGACAAAATGTGAAATTTGGTCAACGCGGCCTCTATCAGGCCGGAATACCACTAGCTGCTCTCGAGTCAGTACCTCAGGAGCCACCGCAAGGCGACGAAGCAAGATTGACGCCAACAGTCTCGTTACGACCGGGGTCAAGATGATTATTCTGTGGTTACCACACTCACTACTCGCCCCTTTTTTGAAAACGGGCGCCATCACTGGTTCTCACCAGTTGTCTGGGACAGACTCCGTTTCCCAAATGCAAGCAAACAGATCGGACAAGCGCTGACTGAGGACTTTACCGCCGTCTTTGAACAGTGCGAATGGGAGGTCATCCGGACGAGAAGCTCAGTGGATGAATTTGTTTAGTGTGTCTCTAAGATACGAGCAACGACAAAACTCTGGTGCAAAGCCTCATGTCAAGCGGAGGTGCACTACGGTGCTGTGTTCGACTGTAGGGGCTATGCGGTAAAACGAGAATTCAAACTAATGCATACTGCCATGACGATAACTTTTGCGTGTGAAAAATACGCGTGACTAGAGAATGTTGTTTGCCTTTCGTGAGTGAGAAATTGAGGATCGGTTTTAGTTATGATTGGCTACAGCTAGACAAAACGAAGCACCAGACTGTGAACACGGCTGACAGTGATCCGGGAATAAAACTTGGATTGAATAAACGGGGCACAAATCTTATGACACAGAAGCTTAAGGCCAGAAGTGAAGCAAAACAACGGAGTCAGTGTAGTTGAGCATGGGAAAAGTTCGGTGATAAGTGCAGGGTATTGTCGGCGACAAATCTGCACCTTAGGGAGAAGTTGCGGAAGCACCCCTTGCAAGCGGAACTGCTGCATGTTGGATAGATGGAGGAGTGATCATTAGTTTATGGGAAATCCATCTTGGAAAAAGATGTGGGGATAGAAACTCCGGAATTTGGTGTAGGGAAGGAGTTTTGATCCTTGGCTTTNGAAGGAAATGTTAGAACCAGGTGTTTTGTTATGGTGCAGGAGGGGACTCCATTAAGTCAGGGGGTTCGCGGCAAGAACCTGGGCTGTGGTTGTCAACTGTGGCTTCATTCAGTGTCTGATAAGATACCGCATCTATCGCGCTGTCGGCGACTTCCATTGGTGTGAATGACATCAGATGTGACATAAGTGGGCACTCGGATGTAGAAGTGGAAAGGTGTATGATTTGAAGGCGACAGGCGGGTTTGTGTGGTTTTGGGGGAAAATTTTTCTCGGGAGTAAGGCAAACCTGAACAGGAAAGAAGCCCGTGGAACTGAGGATTTGGGGTGCTGGAGTGTGAACTTTTGAGTATCACGTAAACTCTAGAATTAGTAGGGAAGGTCCGGCTCCCAACAGATTTAGTAATGTCAGAAATCCCTGGACAAAATGACATGACGATACAGCGGAACATTTGGCGCAGAGTCAGGTTCACGGCTTGGCAATTTGGCTGGAAGTTTGGGGTAAAGCGTTTGTGATTTTAGCTCACAGATGCGTCAGTCGTGTTTTGCCTACTGGGTTGATCAAAAGAACGGTCACGTAAAAACTCTGGCTGCCTGGATAGCCGTCGAGACTGAGTAATTTCAGAACTACCGGGAAGAGGGTTCTGTTCGGTAACTTTCAGTGAGAACCTTTGATGCTTAGTAAGTGGCCTTGATGAGGTGCCCTTCCAGTCACGTGCTAGCAGATTCGGTCTTCGTTGTTTAGAAGTGAGCGGGGCCTGAAGGCTGCACCTTAGACGTACAGTGCTTTCACCCGAAAACCTTTGCGAGTGGAATAATTTTTTCACTCCAGAAGGTTGCATTTAGTTGCATGCGTGCAAAAACCAAAACCATCTTAATCCACGTTCATTTTTTGTAATTTGTTTTAACTAGTCCCATCCCAATCTTTTGGCGCGCATGCGGCCTTAAATTTTTTGTGCTATGGCTTCAGAAATGGCTTCACATATGTTTGTCGTTCAATTAGGCGGCCATGTCCCTTTCATCCTTCAGGGCGCTTGAGAAAACTGTAAATGAATGCATGAGGGATAACTACGTGGCCTGCAGGCGGCCTGAAAGACAAACGGAAGGTCGGTGAGTCCGAATGAGCTAGTAAGCTCAGGGTGTTTTCCAAAAAAACAGTACGCGGCGCACCGGCCCTTCAGTGGGTTTTTTGTAAGGAGGTAAGGAGGTCACCCCTTATTATCTCAATCACGACCATGAGGTTTCTAAGATTTTGTACGATCAGCTTCCGCTAAGTCGGCGGCTAACCGAAGATGAGTTAGACACCTAGGGGGGCCGTCCGAAGTATGGAACGCCGTCATGCGAATTACCTCATTTTGTGCCCGATTAATCCAGAAAGGCCCTCACAACTCAGAACATACGCAACATATGCAACACACGCACGGGAGGTGTCAACCATCTCTGTTGATTAAGTGACACATAGTCAGGTTTTATCGTATCAGATGATGTGCCTGCAGTCCTGGAAAAACTTTGGGAGGCCGAAGGCGCGCTTGTACTGCAATCAGGGGAGGGTCACTGCAGCCGCATATGACTGTTCAGATAGCAGCGCTGTTTTGACTCTTCCCATATGTAATAAATGTCAATGGAAGTCACGCGCCGCGGTAAGTTTTTTAAACAAACGTATATCTGGCCTATAAACTGGCCTCTAATCTCGGATTAAATGGAAACAGGGCGTGTGGTTATGTATGGCTTCCTGGAGAGTGAACAGATTGTTCCTGTATGTGAGATGTTCGTTTTTTTCGAACAAATGATAAACCAACACTATCAAGTGAATTTTTTCGTCATGGGCAAGTTGGCGGCACACATGCGCGAGAAAGAATAGTGTTTGGCTGCGACATCTTGTTGAGCTGGCTGGGTTGTCTGGGATCGTTCAGCTGTCCGCTACGATTGACTGCATGTCATCAATATCTGCAAGCTGTACGTTTTTCCAACCACGCATGGTTTGTCCAACAATAATAAATGCGTGTTCCGCAATGATAACTCGGAATAGCAATTATCGAGGTCCCTGAACATATAAAATTTAACCAGTCAAGCAGATCTAAAAGCAGAAAGTATTTACAGGGTTAACACCGCCGCATACTTTGCACCCACAAGGACCATGTGGTTCCAAGAAAGCTCAGTGAATTAGTCCAGCTGCAGAACCATTTAATAATTCCGTTCATTGTAAATGGTTTACGATTTTCGTAACCCACGATATCGTATTAAATTACGCACAGTTTTCACGGACGGTTGTGGTCGAAAACCTTGAAGATTCGCTCACTTAAACAAACCACAAATGCAGATAAATTTCAGAAAGATTCTTTATGCACAGACATTTCTCTCTACAGAGTGGTAACTTTGAAGATGTCGTAGCCTTCGAGAATTCAATTTTATTGCGCGGATATTGAGCAGCGACCTTACATGTTAGTAGACGCATGGTTTCGTTTCCATCCCTGAAGTGCCTGAAAATTGGGCAACATGTGAATGGTTTCGGCCCTCCGAACCCTTGAGCTGTATGGACATGTCAAGGGGGTCACGTGATATCGAGTTAGTAGCCTTTGTGTCTTCAAGTACGGTACTTTCAGGTGCATTGTGTATTGGGCCTGGTGACGGCATTCCATGCACTGACAAAATTCTAAGTGCAAACGTGTATATAAGCATCGATGCTTTCCTAAATGTTTGGTAGCACATACCCAATCTATCAGCTATTACGAGCGAAAGAATTACACATTTGAGGGACTCTGATCCACAAAGGAAGTCAAGAAACCTAACAACAACCAATGGACCGATGGATCAACGGAAGACCACTAAATTACCCAATCGAGTCAATAAATTCAGACTACAAAGCAAAAAAGAAATCGCCCAGTTAAAAGAGAGACTCAGGACTGTCGAGTTGAATGCGTACAGCGAACCAGTCAGATACAAGTAAATGAGAACAGCTCAGATTCATGGGTGAACAATCAAACTGCTCAAAGACCGCCCCGGAACAAACCGATCACCACAGAGTTACCAGATACTGCTTAGAAACTATATAAGCACGAACAGAGCAGGGGAAATTTACCTGCGCAGCCCTGCACTGACGATGTCAACCCGATTAGTAATGAAACCTTTGCAATGCGAATGCAAAGCTCGGCGAACAGACCAACAACCAAGCATCGCACCCGGTCTACTTACACTGCTTCATAGCTACTCTGTTCTGGACCTCCAGTTGATGGGGTAGCAGGTGTCTACAATCCTGTGTTCCGCATCGTTGTCACGTATCACCATATTAACCTTTGTCTGATAAGGACAGACATTCCCTTGTTAGTACAATACTGAGTTCGTTTCACAGACTGAACAAATTTTTGTAGATTTGGTTTGAGAACTGTGACGCTCAATGCATCCAACTACATTAACAGTGTAAGGGAAGCCATGAAGAGTCCCCCTCATGACCTGGCGCAATTTTTGTGGTCCGGTAGGTTACAAGTGTCACTGGGCTACTTGAACAGGACGTTGTGACAGGTAGTGGAAGTACACAGAATGCTAACACGTTCGCTTCTCTTATTAGGTATCCCGAATTAAAACCCCGGTCGAGGATACGCAATGATGATCTGCTCCAACTGGAGCGAAAATCGAGTCCAGCACTTCCTCAACTTCGTTCTGACTAACCAGAATAATTTACCTAGGACAAGAGAAGGACACATCGAACGAGCGTGTTGTGAATCCCAAGCTACACTGTCGCCAAAATCTAATGAGAGTCAGTGAAATCTTACTACAGACCCAGCTCTATTTACCCCTATTCAGGGGATGCGAAGTCAAATGAAGAGTAGTTAATTCAAGCAAAAACTGTCGCTCCTATCCCGGACATATCGACTGTTCGAAGGAATCACGATGTCAATATGAGGCCGATGATTTTATGATCGAGTGACCCTTTTGCCGGTAATTACTCGCGATAACAGCTCAAGTGTTCAAAAAATGTTTATTCATCACGTATCTATCAATGTTGTTTCACACAACTCCTGTTACCTAATCACAACATTCACATCCATCTCGAGTAGTTCTGACTGAGAATTGTTTTATCAAAACAATGCACGTATGTGCAGGTTTCGTTTTAAGTATGTCTAAGAAAAATAGGACAGAACAAATGAATATGTTCTTCTGATTAATTCGAAGCTGCTGGCAAGCCCTGGGACAAATGGACGTTAGACATTGTTTTGACGAACGTTCGTGGAGGTCAAGGAACAAAGGGGGGAGGCGGTTTCTCGGAACCAAGCAGTCATTGTCACGAATCAGGTGGCTTTCCGTCACCAAAAATTTAGGGTCAAACTGTAGTGAGAGGGGAAAACACAGCGAGTTTAGAACTGCATAAAAAAACGGGCAGTAAAAAGCAACTGATCAAATTATCCTGAAGGAAACTACTTATAGAGTTTGTGATACTGACCAACAGTCCATAACTGGTTTTTCCTTTCTTGAAGCTTATAAGGTCATCTCAATTGTCAACTTTATATTCTGCATTAGTCAAGCTTTCAGAAACCTCATGAGGAGTTAGCGAAATGTACTCATTTCCAAACGAATTTGGTTTTTCGAGAGATCACCTGGAACCCAGCTGAATCTCTCGTCTGTGATGTTTCCGGTGGTGGGCTATGGACGAATTTTCGTCAACCTCATGAGTAATACATTTCGAATATACATACATGTATCGCGATATATTGAATATCATAGTGACTGACATATGAGGCGGCCTGGTGCAGCCCGTTCAGTTGCCTGAAAACATTACAAATGATATATTCAGCTGGGTTCCAGGTGAGTCTCTCGAAAAATCAAATTAGTTTGCAAATGAGTGTATTTCGCTAGTTTTGGTTTCAAGTAGAACATAGGCTTGATAAAAATTCGGGAACTGCGCCTACCTGACGAAGGGCGAAATCGGTCATCGGCTGTTAAAAATTTCCAGCAACCTCATGAGTGGTGCATTACGAATAATTTCATGAGTAGTTTCCTTTAGGAAACTATACAGCGGTATCTCAAATATCGTAACAACTGAAATGCGGAGCGGCAGCTTAAGAATTTCATAAGCGAGAGATTTAATCGAGTCTCCCGTGAAAGCCGAATTGATTTTCAAATGAGTGTTTTTGTCGAACTCAGTCAAATTTGGGTTCAAGTGGAACATAAGGTTGACGGACACTCGGAGACGGCGTTTACCTCATGAACACGAAGTGGAGGGGTGAATCAGTTGCACTTATTGCTGTCTAATTTTGAGCTAATCAGACATTCGTGCCCGAACGGTTAAGGGATCAAATTACTAGCCGAGAGGTCACGGGTTTCTTGAGACGCTAACCGCTAACGGTCCCCAATCGAGGTTGGTCAACCGGACAATGTTCCCTACTTTGCACATCAACCCTATTAGTAGTTTTGAGCATGACGGCTCAACTTTTACGTTCATATCTTCGACAGAAACGATGTATATCATACAAACTATGTCAGGATAAATTGTAGTGCACGAGTTCTAAAAATGCAGCCAACTCTCGCGCGATTACATCGAATACTGAGCTATGAGAGCAAGCCACCGAATGATTCATTGAACTATTGTTACCAAACGTCCCCGAAAACGATGACTACTCAACCGGTCCCAGGCGTTTTTCAACTAACTGGATATGTCTAAAGCGTTGTTGGTAGTTTGTAAAACAGTGGTATGTTGGAGGTCACGTGTTGCACCATGTGACCTCGAGTCCGCTGCTAGACGCTCCAGTCAAAGCAGTGACCAAATTTTCACCGTCTATGATTCAGCAGTGTGTTGTTTGATTGGAGGCCTTCTTCCGCTTAGATGCAACTGATCACACCATCTTCTCCGATATTTGGCTGTATTTTGCAGACTCCCTCATTTTCTGATGGCCGAAAGTGTACCTTCTGTGACCAAAGGATCTTTAATGCATGGTTCATAGCTGATAAACCGAAGTGAACTGAACTCAGAGATGTTCGAAGCTACGTATCACCTCATGACCTCATAAATACTGAACACATGAATACTGTTGTCGGTACCAGTTTACGGCCTTTTGTCAGTGTCAGTCAACCGATAAACGAAACCGACTCAAAAAACGGTGAGAGACGGTTCACTGCCTTCAGCATTTTTTCGGCAAAATCTAGATACTATATATATATATATATATATATATATATATATCCTATTGCATGTCCCCACTGGATCACTGGAATGCGAGATAGAGAACATACTGCACGGTAAACAGTTGATAATTAACACCTCTGAAAAAATCCATCCAACTTACATTCCTATGGAAACTCGTCCAGACGACTTGTGTCTTGGCCTGGTGACGTGTCCGCAGTTGGAGTACTTGCAGGTACACTGTCGCTTGATCCCGCTGTTCGGACATCTGCAATCAGTTGGAAAGAAATGCGTTGAAAATGTGGCTTTACCGCAATAATTCTGTTCGACGATACGCTGAAGGTAATTGCGCTCGTTGTCACAGAGGCTTGTGTACCGAAAGTGACTTTTGGATTTCATACAGATTGTTATTATCAAATTATATGCAACAACTCGATACGTTGAGCCGATCGATATACGGTTAGCCACTGACTAGTAAGCTAGTATGGCTTCCAGCTGTTCACAAGTCAGTTACCACGCCACTTCCCGAAAATGGGAATGGACTACGGAACATCCAGGACGCGGCATTCGTATGAAAGGTTTTCGTTTAGGGGTTCCGCTGTTAAGCTTGTATTTATCTGGCTTCATTTTGTTTTAGGTGGGGTTGTGAACTCCGCACATCTGACACGTGAGGAAATCGTGTTTCCAGTACTCCACCAGCGCATGGTGGACGCATTTGAATTTTAATGTGTGAGGGGCGAAAATGTTCACGCTTGAGCGATATGATTGGTTGACTCGACTCCACGAACGACCCCACCGGGATACCTCCAGCGTGCTTTGATGGATTAGTGGTAAAGCGATCGCCTTAGATATGTGGAGTTCAAACCCCGCCACGGCTGAGGATATACACTGCTGATGAGCTCTAGCACGACCTCGCCTTCGGTGTGGACTAACTAGCGTGATTGCGCCAGGACAACAGGATCACTGTTCAAACGCGAGTTAGTTGTGCTTAAATTCTACAAATAAAAACTAAGTGTATTACACGAATCCATCTCTCCTAGTGACGGAGGAGGTAAACCTCTTTAAAATTTGCAGTTAACTCCTTTAGTAAATGAATACATGGTGTCGTATGGAGTGGTACCGTAAAAATGAAACCTAGGTTGTCCTGAAAAAAAAGTACACCTTAAGTATATTAAAGTATATTGAGGTATTGCACCGCATATCATTACAGAACAGTGCAGTATAGTATAGTATAGCATAGCGTAGTATAGTATAGTATACTTTATTGTATAGTATCTTAAGGCGAAAGTATTCACCAATAGTATACTGTATAGTATAGTATAGTATAGCATAATATGGCATAATATAGCATAATATAGTATAGTACAGCATAGTATGGCGTAGTATAGTATAGTATAGTATAGTATAGCATAATATGGCATAATATAGCATAATATAGTATAGTACAGCATAGTATGGCGTAGTATAGTATAGTATAGTATAGTATAGCGTACCATAGCATAATATATCGTTGTTTAGCTTACCGTTCCTTAGTATGCTGCAGTATATCATGGTATAGTGCAATGTGGTGTAATACAGTATAGTACAGCGCATCCGAAAGTCGAAATCTGGCACGCGTTCCCTCGTGGATAGGATTCATCAGGAAGCCAGCTTATAGCACTCACTCGATGCATAGGTTCAAAGCGGACACCTCCAGCATCACCTGACTATTCGGTATATGGTGTAGTTATCGTAATTGATTGTCCTCAGTAGTTTCCGTTGCTGAAAAACTCACCGAATCAAGCTACTGATAACGGATTTTCCTGATAGACAGGACATTTTCATGGGTTCACCTTCCAAACCAACATAACAATAAGGAGTGAAAGGTCTACTCAGCTGTCGATGAATACTCAAAACTGCAGTCTCCTAGTTGGGCTTTGAGCGGTTTGCCATTTATTACTGAGGGTCTGATCAGCATAAAATCCAATTTGATCGCGGCAGAAGTAATTGCGAATTCAAGCCGTCTACATAACAGAGTAGTCTGTGAATTCTCTTCATGTGTAGAATATGATGGCTGTTCCTAACTTTCCACAAATTAAGCAATTGATTGTTTCAACTTAGAGGAGACAAATGGGTTTCACATAACTGAGAACATTTGCGTGTAAAGTATTCTACCGATTTTACTTGCGCACAGCCGTCATTGAACGAAGGAAACACTTACATGAAGTCAACTGTTCCCTTGTATCTTTATGATGTTTTTCTAAAACAAAAGTTCCCACCTCCACTGATTCAGGATTCATCTTTTGTAAACAGGGTCACGCCGGGCAGAAGTTCATTAGCCGATGCCCCGTAGACTGGGTACAACAAAACTGTACAGCAGGAAATCGATGATACATCGTACACAAAACTGCAGGACTTTAGTTTCTGAGAATGTCCTTCTCGGTAGAAGTCCCGTTGAATGGGGGAAAGATATATTTGTGTAATTGGCACTGTTATTCACAAATTTGAAAGATACATGTGTGATCAGCATTTGGGTAGTCAGTAGCATGACTAGACCGGTGTGGTTTTTCCTTCCAGATTGCCTCAGCGCAAGTTTGGCGGTGTGTGAGATTCGCTTGTTTTCAGTAATTCAAAGCTAGGTCCCTTTTGATCGGGTTCTTCTCATCCCCAGGGTTGAACGGCAGTAAAGCATCGGCGTTCTCACAATAGTGTGATTGCTGTCAACAGTGCTGCTACCCATGATGATGGCGATGACCACGGGGATGACGTCAATCATCCCGAGGACGATGATGATGATGATGACGATGATGATGGCGATGATCATGCTGGTGATGATGGTGATGACGATGATGATGCCGGTGATGATGATGATGATGATGATGATGATGACGATTATGATGATGATGATGGTAATGATGGTGATGACGATGATGATGATGATGATGATGATGATGATGATGATGATGATGATGATGATGATGATGATGGTGATTACAACGCTAATGAAGGTCGATGGTCGACGATTACGACAATGGTGTTGATGATAATCATGTGCCAGTGGGTATCGGTAACCTAACTTTGTCGTGTAATCATGCATGCATCTGAAATCGCGTCTGAATTCAAAGTTGCATAGTATTTAGCTTTTTACTGATTAGTGAATGCCACTCAAATATCACACCATATTCTGCCTGCCGTTTATTCTTGGGAATCTTCCCCTTTTTGCTGAGCGTGGAACACTGATTTATTTACAAACCTGACGAATTCCGCCGCTACTCATAGGGATTTCTTGGCTTTCTGTTGACCCCGAACCCCTTACAAGGAAGTCAGCATTTGGGGATTTTGGCTTTCAAAACCATCCGCCAGTTGTGAACGGGTTCATTTCTTCAGATGGCCCAGTCACGCCCTCAATGGCGATCATGCATCCAATCTATTGCCTTCAATGCATAGCTCCTTCCGCAACCTCCCACGTAAAAGTACACTGTCAATCATGCAATTACGCACCAATTTATCAGCTGCCGCCTCCAATGCGCAACTACCTACCCCACCTCCTCAAATCATTGGCGAACGAAACTGTGCCAGCTACAACCACAGTATGACAAATACGCAGTTTCTTACAGCTCATGATGGTGATGAAGATAATGTTCAAATGTGACAATTTACGTGTGTATAGTATGCACCCCACACTGCCTGTCAGATGTCCAGAATTCAGATCCGCACTATGGACCAATTTGAATAATCGTGCCACTACAAGTTAAGGAAAGTTCAGACCACCGTGACCAGGAGGGTTTCGCTCATCAGACGATGGTACCTGATAACTCAGGAGTCTCTCACCTTGAGTTCAATCAGATCCAGAATGAATGTTTGATAATTTGGAACAGAAAGCAATGCTTGATAGGTAAGACGCTATTTGAAAGTGAACCTCCCATCAGTGTTCTCCTTTTCCTAATACCTTGTAACCGTGACGTACCTTTTGTTTCTGACGGTGTTGGTATCGCAACTGCAGGTTGTCCGCTAGGCGAGTCTGGCATGACATCTTCCATCCGTGTACTCGGCTGCACCAGTTGTACTTTGCGGGAACTCCGCAGTGGTGAAACAGAATGTCGTCCGGAATGTTCCGACAATCCGACCACCCTGACTCGTTGTGGAGATCTCGCGGTCTGTGCACGGCGTCGTTCGTCCGTATCCTGAGATGAGGGAAGAGAATGGAAACAGATTTATGAAATTTGAGTGACCTCAGCGGAAAAGACTGTAATCAACTTCCTTCGTTTAGTGGAATCGAGGCTGATTAAATTTATTGCTCATTTTATTTATTTATTTATTTATTATTTATTATTTATTATTTATTTATTGCTCATTGTCGTCAACCAGATAAATCAGGCTCCTCGTACAAGTTGCAACCACGCCTCCATGAAGCTGGCGATTCCGTGATCCTCTGTTAAGCGTTAATTCGTGCAGTATGGGGAGCCTCGCCATCCACGACATCAAACATAGAATTGAAAAGATTCTAGTGACTGTGCGCATACAGTGGAGTGGCAAAGTGCAACTGCAGTTTTTTTGCACAGAATACTATCACATTTGGGCACTTGGTGTCCTTGATGTACGTTTGGGGGCATAGTTCTTGCGGATGACAATTTGGTGGGACCGAGATCGTCTAGACCGTGGAACCTATGCCAGGTTTGAGTGTGCTGGAATTCGCACTGGATTCGTTGCACTGCTCCCGGTCATCTCGACAACTACCAGCCTTGAAAATATTGCAGATGAGACTTTGGTCTCCCTAGGACCATCTTGACTGCTAATAAACTGCTCGCGTGGCCGAGTACTTCATCAAACCGATCTGTTTTGTGATCGAGTGATATGGACCCATCAGTGCTTTTGAATGGGTTTCAGGCAAACTTTAGACGTCGCCCAATTCGGTAATATACCCCAGAAACTCCTGAGCTCGAAAGCCGGGTCTTTTCGCAAGAGTGCGTGAAATCGAAACTACCAAGACTCGATTTGGAGATTAATCCAGCAAGGTGGATCCTGACATATGAGGCAAGCGGGTTACCACCATATGGCCAGCGCGCACTAAAAACATCCCTATTATGACGTGTGCTCACGCATGAGCTATGCGATCAATTTTGTCCGATGCCTCGAACAGCCACCCTGGTTGTGCCAATCGATTGATCCATCTTTCAAGAAGTTTCGATCGATCGCGTGACGAAGGCAGTTACTGGTTCGTCATCCGAGCTGTCAGGCGAATCGGTTACAAAACTCAAGAATGTACTCCTCAACAGGTGAGCCTAAAGAGCGTTTTGAATTGCCAACAATACACATATGAGAAAACCAGCTTCCAATCTGGGAAGTTTAAGAGAAAACTGTACACTCCCGAAAGCTACGGGTAGCCGATAAGGAGCGTGGGGAATCGGTCTTTATATGATATCTAGCCTCATTCATCCATAAACCCTCACAGTTCTTACCACGTGACCGCGTCTGACTGGATATCAGGATCAGCTGATTTGAGATGTACATTCACACTATTTGCCTTGTTTTTCTCGTCTCCTTTGTTGTTTCAATTTTCCCGAGGACTTTAATTCTGCTATTAACAATTCCAAAATCAATCTGCCGAGAAATTTTACTCTTGACTCAATCCTTCAAGGTTGTCCGATGATTTATCTACTTTACTACTTACCATTCTCCTGGCTGAAGTGCCTCTGCCAGTCAAAGGTGTCTTTGAGATTGGAGGCAGCCGAACGTCTTCGAGATCCTCTTCCGCCTGTGTTGTTTCTTCTCCGGTTTCCACACCAACCGAATGAATGTCACGAAGAGTGATGCGTCCTCGGTAAATTTGACCATCATAGCCTTCAAGGTTAACTTCCGTTCTAGGGGAATAAAACAAAGCGGGATAGGACGCAATAAGAGCTAAGTTGAGCTACACCCAAGCCGCGGTAGACTAACGCCTGAAATTCGGTACAACCGCTTAACAAGGTCCACTATTCTCTGTGACTACAAGAGAAACAACGAATAAATCTCCCATTCTGTGGAGAATTCGTGTGTGTCCATAATTGCGACTACTTGTTTGACTTGTGTGAAGCATGACTTAACTAAACCGAACACGAGTGATGTTATCGAGAGCTATCAGTCATCACAAGACGGCGCCATTCTGACATGGTCAGTGCCGTGGACTCTCCGACCCCGTTGACGGTGTGTCGGGTGAATGGTATTCCGTTTCGGCCCGATTAGTTTAGCAGAATAGCTGACAGGTGGGAAGAACAACAACAACTACAGTGACTTGAACTGTTTCCTAAGAACTCTGACAACATTTGTGCAAGCCACTTGTCATCTGGCCGGTCAAAACCGCCGTTATTCACTCGCACGTCACTCTTCCAAGTAACAATGGATAGGCACCTGAAGAGTTTTGCCAACAGAAATGAATGATGTTCTGTTAAGGTTGATTGGAACGTGTACTGCGTTGCGGGCGGGCTGTTAGCCCGGATTGTCTGCACCAGTCTTCAAAAAGCGTGGAAATTATGGCCCGAGAGACGTCAAGTGTAGTGCGTGAAGAATGCAAACATTCACTTGATATCAGAGAGATCGATATGCGCACGTATACATTTGTGTCAGGTGGAATGATTACGGTTTAGCGACGGATCGTCACTCACAACAACAATTCAAGAATGCACTACTCATGAGGTTGCCGAAAATTCGTCGATAGATCACGACCGGTTTCGCTATTCTTGGGGTTCATCAGGTAGGCGCAGTCCCCGAGTTTCCGCCAAACTTATGTTCTACTTGAAACCGAATCCCACGAAATCAGCGAAATACCCTAATTTGCAAACTAATTTGGTCTTTTTGAGAGACTTATTTGGAACGCAGCTGAATGTATCGTTTGTGTTGTTTCCAGGCGACTGAATGTGCAGCACCAGGCCGCCTCATGTTTCAGTCGCTACGATATTCAAGGTATCGCGATACACGTGTATTCGTAATGCGCCTATCTGATGAGCCCCAAGAAGGGCGAAACCGGTCGTGCGCTGTCGATGAATTTTAAGCAACCTTATGAACAGTGCATTCTTGTTCCGCAGGTAGCGTTTACGATGAGAGAAACCACATACCGTCACTGAACTGATGAAAGAACAAAGAACCAAACTTCTCTTCGAACACTAATTAGGTCAGGTGTGTGTAGAGTGCTAGAAAGCACTCTGCTCTGCTGGAAGAACAAACTCATTGGATAGTTACTCAGTACTGATTCACTTGGAATACTGAAAATCTTGGCCAGTCAGCTGACGAACTGCTCAACTTAGAGAACAAGAACACCTGAAGAATGCAAGTTCTTACCAAGAGTACGCATGTGAAATCTAAATTGATGTACAGCATATCGTTGGGATTTCAAGGTCGGAGATGATCGGGATTAGTACAACGTTATACCCGTTCTCTGTTGAATACACCGCTTCGAGTTCAATACCTATTATGATCATGATCCCAGGAGAGGCTGAGAATCTTTCTTGATCACCACAGAAAGATTATTTAACGTTAACAAAGGACTAGAATGAACTGAATATCTGGTGACCAATTATGGCTGTGTTGCTCCGGTCTGTCTGAGCCACCGTAGTTATAAATATGATGGGGGTAATTATTTCTACGTGTGTTTCAAGCCTACCACCGAATAGGGATAACAATCGATAAATGCGGCGTAATTTAATACAATTTATACAACTTAGTGATGTCTTTCTCAAGTTTGAACTGTGCAGCCTGATAGGTGACTGGGGCGCTCATATTTTTCAGGTCAGACAAGAGGGGGTGCATCACCTATTCGCGCTTGAGTTCATTTTTGTTGAGAGACGAGGATTGCTACCTCGGCGTCTGGAAACCTTGATTTACCTTGAATATGAGGAGAACTTATCGGAATGGTCGTTCTTTCTCAGTGTTTACTTGATGATCCAAACTTCAGCCTTAATATTACTAGGGATACGGCTTTTGTTTAGACTTTTCCGAAGAGCACACACGTCCGAGGTCATCTGTAAGAATACAGACGGAGAGTACATCGGGACAGAAACGGAGAAAATATCGTCCGTCGCCGTTTTAACCTGTCTGATGGAAGCAGTATCCAGAAGGAGAACTGTTTTCATTAGCAAGATGACCATACCATCAGCTACATGATTTCTGGAAGCAACCGAGCATCCATGTATCAGAGTGTTCGAAAACGGTTCCCGAGTTTCGGGTTTCTAGTGATGAGGCCTTTGTACGTGATAATTTGACGTAAACATTTCAAGTAGTAAAACTAACGCAGAAATCTACTCACTGTGGCGGTAGGCAAGGCAATGGGCGTCCAAATTCATCCTCATAGATAGCGCTAAAGAATGCCAAGAAAAACGTGGATTAGATTGCCACAAAGTCATCACAAGAAAGCTAGAACAATCTGAGGAAAAAAACAAACGAGTACTGTTCCCCGTGTCTGCTTCAGAATGGTTCAAATCGCTAGGTGGACAACGAGTGACTCGGCCGAAGGATACGAAAGAGGTGACAAAAAGTTTGCGTGTTGTTGATGGTCCTGTGACCTCATGCGCTTGGCTAGAGACACTGTGACGCCAATCGATGCCAGTGGAGTCTGTGTGCTGTCAGTTTCTTTCCAGATTGTGGGATTTAGCACTCGAAGGTGTAGGCATTTCAGAATTC